CTTTGCGTACAGCTCCATGGAACGCTATTTCAGCAACGAGTGATTTTTCAACATATGCAGAGAAGCACAATCCAAGGGGCTCTAAAAAATAACTAGCTATAACCACTAAGTACATAAGGTTTTTTGAGAAATAACTCATTATGCACAGGTGAAAAATTATTACTACACAGTGAACCATACAATGGAAAGAAATATGGAAATCACAGAAATGCCAAAGGAGGCAATTCCTCTCCTACCTATCCTGATGGAGAGAAGAAGAAAGGGAATTAAATCATGTAACCAAAGCGCATGATGACAGTAAAAAAAGATCAGCTAAGGAGCCAACAAACTCAGAGACTGAGAAGTAAATTAAGTTACTTAAAGATACCTTTAACAACAGAGAGCCGGTCTGTACAGGATACTCATGGAAAAGCTCTTCCTGATATAACGAAAAAGAACCTAAATTCACCTTACTAATATCCTCAGAAACGTCAGGTTCAAGGGTCTTTTTCATTTTTCCTAACGTAAAAGCTTAGATTAAATGGAGACAGCATAATGACCAACAATTTCTTCACAATCTATAAAAAAAAGGACATTACCAAGCTAAAAATCAATTTTTGATCCCTTCTAAACATATGTTGCTTTCAAGTGGTTTTCCCAACTTGTACTGGAGAGATGAACTTTCAGATAAGGAATCTAAAATAGCATCTAAAAATGCAGCCTTCCATCTAAATTAAACATAGCCAAGGGAAAAAAACCCGGCAGGCTGAGATAGGAAGGAGACTCGTGATCACATGACAGAACTCTTCCAATATTCTAAAAAACTGTGAATAACAGGTGACAGGTAAATGACCTCATGGAAAGAGGCTTCAATAAACCTCTTCTGTTCTTTATAAAATACATGTTTACCTCTCCAGCCTGATATAAAAAGCATGCCTTTAGTCCAAAGCTGAATTTTATGAGTTCCCTCATGCATAAGGCAATAGAAATAGGATATGCAGAGACTATATTTTGTTATACATTTTTTTAAAGAGGAGCAAATAAAAGTCTTGCACTCAATTCAATTGCATTTCTCTGTGATAGAGTGTGAACACTGCACCTGACTGATTCCTAAATGTAATGAAACACTCTAAGTGGCAATGGGCAGCACTCTATTGCTTTTGTTAAAAATCAGAAAAAGAAACACATGCCAAGCTTCCAGCATTCATTTAGGATTGCCAGCATTTTCAACCACTTAAGTTCTCTACAAAGAGCCAATTGACAGTACGTAGTAACACCCTCCAGCATAATTCTAATCCCCCTCAGATTTGTCCACCTACTAGTTTAAAATGATGGTTCCCTTAACTTCTCTATCAGGCAGAACATAAAAGAACAGTGCGCAAGCTGAAGCAGACTTCAGGGCCTCTGATGGGGAAGGCTAGAGAAAATGATGGACCCCGAAGTGATGCACAGTGCGTCTGCCCAACACAAGCAGTGAAAATGCACATGCCCTAATAGTCTGGGTATATGTATGCAAATATAAGGATTTTTTTCCCTTGTCTTGGTACTATAACATGAGAAAAAGAAATAGCAAGAAAGGAAATGCCTTCTCTGGCTAAACAAGCCCTTAATGTACCACGGCATTAAGTGAGAATTGGATCAGAAGACTTGTGAGTTAATGCAGGAACAGCCAGATGATCTTACATTTCAGACAAAAACTCAGCTCCCAAATATTTCACTTTGTTCTGTTAAATAGCAGCACAAGAACTGTAAGAACTTGTTTACAGGCTGTGTTTCTTTGGATGGCAGATCAAGCAATGCCATACTGTTGTAGCAAAACAGCACACCTTTTTCTTGCCTCTCTTGAAAACCTAGGAATTTTAACATGAAACACAAACCCATTTGTGATCTTGGTATTCTGTAAATATCGCCTTCTCTACAAGAGTTACACCTGAAAATTGCTTAGTACGTAAAAGTCAATGAATTCCTTGGGGCCTAATTCTGTATTCCTTATTGTGTACAACTTCTTTTGAAGTCAATATTAGTGATGTCATTTTAATTTTCTTCACATCTGCCATTCTTATCTTAGAAGAAAAAAAACCAATCCTTTAATTCCATTAAAAATTCCTTGTAGACTGCCTTTTGTGCTGTTGGTAAGTTTTGAAAATCTTTCTGAGAAAATTAATATTCAGTGTATTCAGTGTACATATTAATAAAAATAGAGAGAGCAACAGAGGAAATGAGCAAACTATAACAAAACTGCTGATACTGGATAAAGGCAAACCCTTTCAAGAATGCATGCATTAACACCTTCCTGACAAGTGAAGACAGCAGCAAAAATGATCTAATCCCACATCTCTTTCCACTGCATCAACAGGAAATCCAACAATAGCAAAATTGGTGACCACAGGCACTGCAGTGGTACAGACAGCTCTGTCAAGCCTACAGTATTTAATGAAATTGTGAAACTAATTTGTGAATACCACACTTTGTAAAGACTTCCATGTCAGGAATTTCTATCCCTTTATCACACACACAGACCCATGTGAGTGATGTAATACTGTAAGATTATAAAGGAAAATAATTGTTTCTCCTGTATTCATGATGACAGGTCTATAGAAAGAGCCTCCTTTCACAAGAAAAATACTGAACCTTTGACTTTTCAAGTTTTGATCACTTTATTCTGTTTTTATCTTAAAAATACATTGGCAAGCATCCTTTCTTGTTTGCAGAAGCTAAAGTTAAGGACAGCTGCAATGTGGCATACAGTATCTAAAACACCAGATTTTTGAGCAGGACTTGGCAGGGGTGATTAGCCTCTCCCTTCACCATCTTTTACTGCAGAATGCCTGTCTATCAAGAAAATCCCAAAGCTGCCTCCATTAGTTATTTTATTTTGGAATATTTTGTGCCTCATGTAGGCTGAAGTTTTTTGTTTCGCCCGTAATTTTTTACTTTGTGTGGTTGCGTATTCAGAAGATGGCAGCCCGTATCACATTGTGCAGATAAACCTGAGTGACAGAGATACTACTAGTCTGAAGGATCATAAAGAAGATAAATCTGATGAGATCTTGGAACAGCAATGACCACAGCAGCAAAACTTGTGTTCTTGATGCTTAGTTTTCAAAGTGCATGTTAGAAGTACAATGACAGCACACTATCAGAATGATTATGAGGATTTTGTTAATTATTTAATGGATCAATGGAGTGTCAATCATTTCAACAAGAAATAGCTTCCACACTATAAACCACAATTCTTTAATGCCCAGTAATGCAGCATGGTTGAATGCAATCACATAAAATGAAGAAAGGTACCAGTGACCTATAATTTTTGAAGTTTTAAACAAGCCAACCCAGTTAAAATACATACAATTCACCTGATAAAATTTGATTAGCAAGTAATTTTGGGGTTTAGATTTTACTTTTGATTATTTAAACACAGGTGTTGTTTGGTTTTGGTTTTTTTTTTGTTAATAGACCAATGTTTCTGTGATATGCAAAGCAAGCAAGCTATAGAGGTTATTTAAAATAAATCTAGCATCATAAAATAGAAGAGGTTCACTGCCTTTAGTGGAGTAATTTATTTCTCCAAATAGTTATAGAGATCAAGAACAGTAATAGTTATTGGCTAGACCAATGCAGTTATGAGTTCAACATGAAGGGAAGACTTTAAGTGCTGTAAGATTTGCAAAAAACCTGCCACAGCTTTAGTTAGCATTTCTTGATTTTCTCAGACATCCAGACATGAGGAAACTCTCCAATTATATGAGCTTTGCTTTGTGTCAGCATTTTTCATTTTGCAACTGCCAAATGACCATAACAGTTGCATTTAACATTTTTGTTTCAAATACATTTTCAGATGTACTGGTAGTCATAAGAAGGTTTTGATTACCGAAAAATGTATCACCTTAATAAAATTATAGCGATTTAGCAAGCCATTATGCTAATCCTATTCAGCTACTTGAGGTCTGATGAGATCTTTGATACGAGTAAGTTGTGTTAATTTACTTTCCAGTGTGCAAAACTGAAATGCATTTAACTAAGTGGCTTGTGCATTATGTAAAACAAGACAAAAACCTTCCTGTTACTACACAATTAGACTACAATAATGTCTGTCCTCTGGCATCTTGATGTATGATATGTTAATATTAACAAAAGTGAAAAGAGGAAAACTATGCAAACTACTATTAACTTTAAAAAGTAGAAAACTTCTTTCAGACTTAGAATCAAGCAACAAACATACTTGAACGCACTTCCTTTTCAGAGAAAAGGTATTACATAAATTCATTTCACATTATCATCTTATGTTCACCACACTACAACGAGGATGTTGTCCAAAACGAAGTTTGAGAAGCATGGTCTTCTCTCCCAGCCACTGTCAAGGCCTTTTGTGATGGTAGGTAACTCAACTCACCTCTTCTTTTCTCTCCATATGGACAAGCGTACATGTGAACAAATATACATGTATATAATTCTCTCGTACATATTTTATTTCTTCACAGAATCATAGAACAGTTGAGGTTGCAAGGACCTCTGAAGATCATCTAGTTCAATCCACCAGCTCAAAGCAGGGTCAGCTAAAGCAGATTGTGTCTAACTACGTTCTGAATATCTTTTAAAACGGAGAGTCCACAACCTCCTTCTTCCTTTGCCTTTTAACAGAGCAAATTTTTGTTTGAAAAACTTTTTACACAAGTTCATTTACTTCAGTTCCTTAAATTATATCACGTATACAACAACAAATAATTTTCCTCAGAAACCATTCATGATGTTATTTCAAATTATTCAAAATTATATGTTAATTAAAGACTTCACGTTGCATGCTGCATACAAAACACTTTAGAAATAAAGCTCTAAAGAAATATTGCTGTTATAAACTGTCATTCATATATGAAATTAAGCATATTTTTATCATCTGTATAATACAGCAAACCTTTTCAATAAGCATCAATTTGAAGATTGCGTACAACTTATTAGAAAGCAATTTATTTTCCAGATTGCTATCTGGTGAAGCAGATTCCTCCCATTATCAGTCAACTTACTTAGTCTCTGAGCAGCCTCCAGGGCATCGTTTGCAGAATCCGCTACAAAGAATCTCTGAACTGTAACCCCATGGTCTGCCATTAGTTTTTTGCTTTGGTACTCCTGCAGGTTCAGCCATCGTCTAGGGGTTAATTGAACAGCCTAGAAAAATGAGAGGGGAAAATAACATAATGCTCATTAAGAACAGTTCACGAGACAGCCAGTTGAGCTCTTCAGCCTTATGGTTATCTCAAACCAGCAGTTAAACAATACTGTTTCAGTGAAAAGGTAAAATACTATTGATTTACCTAAGTGCCTTTTCTTAACATTTGTGCATCCAAAGTACTCTAAAAGCTACAGATTTTTTAAAAACTATACAAGGCTCACTGGGTGATCTTGGCCAGACAAAATGTCTTGCATTTAATATCAATGCAGATTGGCAAACTTGGCTTGAACTCTAAAGTCTGTATATGTTTTTATGTCATCCTGTGCTATAAAAATATTAGCAGACTGTTACCTTAAAACAAAATCATTGTTTCATATTATATATCCTTATTTACACAATATTTTATATAATTCTTCCCTATAAAATAATAAATAATATAAAAAAAAGCTTTCATTGCAGAATATCTGAGAAGAAAAACAACCAAAATGGAATTAGCATCATCTTGTAAGATACTATATACTAATATATGTATTTTCAGTGCTCTGTTATCTATGCTCAGTTGGTTGCACTTCTAAATATATTTTGTTGAGGATGCTAGCACAACCACATCAGCCATGCAAGGACAACAACAGCTGGAAAAGAATTTACCTTCCATTCCCAACATGCCACTTTAGATGCTTGCGTGTGCATACATATATATATCATGGACACAAAGATATGGCAACTTTACACACAAACACAAAGACTTAACATTTGCTTGTCTTGGCAGTAAACATTGAGTAGAGACACTACAAAAGTCATAGGATCATTAGTGAATGATTTTAAGAAAGGACACATTCTCCATGCAGGATAAATTGTTACAGACAAAAGCAGTAATCAAGGAGCTGTCACTGACTCCTGTCAATGGTATAATCCCATTTTGTGCCAACAAAAGATGCTCTTCCCACATGGAGAGACGAACCGTTGTTCTACTGGCAGACAGCCCACAATCCATTCTTGGTTTGTCCTGAAGTAAGGAGCACAGTATGCAAGCTAGCACTATATATTTAGATATGTTAGACAAAGAGGATTATTTACTATACTAATACTTTGATGTCTAACAGCATGATAAAAAATATCCTAATGCAACTTTATACTGAAAACAAAAAACCTCCATGCTAAAGTCTTTCAATAATACATACCCTTTTCACAATACTAGAATTCTAAATGCTGCATTGTATCAAAAGCAAACCTCCATCTGTTCCTATTTGCTTTGAAACATAGCACAAAACATTGATGCATAAGGAAAATACAAAAGCCATCTTTTACAGTATATAACCACATGTTTTGTGTAAAAGCGACTCCTACAGAACTTAAACAGTTACAAATAGCTCAGAATGACACATTTTAAATTCTTTTAACCATAACCTGGTTAACGTATTTTAGAAGAATAAAACGACATATTGTCAGCATGGTCTATGGCTATCTCTAACTCTAGGCATCATACAGGCACCTCAGTATGTTTTATATTCCTCCATGTTATTCAGAGACAATATGTTATTACATTTACGCGATGCCTTCAAATGTAGGGTCAAAATTTAAAGTCACTTTCATAATTGTTGACATTTAATTCTTTTTCCTATTATAAGATCTGTTAGGCTCTAACAGCTATTAGTTCATGATCATTTCCACAAAGGGATTAACACTACGAGCCAAGAGGGACACTGAAGGTCAATTCTAGCCTCATATAAAAAAAGGCCAGAGAATTTCAACCAAAAGCTGATGCCACAAGCCCATAGTTTCTATCAATCTACAGAAGAACTTTTAACATGACTGGAGAAAATACCAGTTTTAACCCTGACAGTCATTAAACTTCTCTTTTTCATTGTTTCTCTAAAGACTACCTCATAATAACAGTATTATTATTATGAGGACTTCAGAATACATCATTATTGATACATGAACATAATCCGTATGTATACACACACACACTGAAGAGAAACATCACCTGAATCTGCACACGCAGCCAGGATTCTATTAACATGTTATTTGGCCACTACCATATGACTAAAATACATTTCCAAAGCACCCCCCCACCCTTTCAGCCGTAAGCGGCAGCAAAAGAAAGAACATCCCATCAGCGATCAGAAGCGACTGCATTTGCAGAGGGAGGGAGGGGAAGGAAGGAGGAAAAGCCAATACACATCTCCATCCTACTGACTGGCTTTCAGCCATTCTGCTCTAGTTAAAAGTTGTACCTGAAGTGTGCACTCCCTCCTCAGCACCTGGAGCTACAGCAGGAGAACATCTACAAGGACATTTCTCAATCCATTTCTCGTGAGCAACAAGGAGTTTACCAGTCTGACTTCCAGGGTTCAGAAAAATAAGCTCACACCTTTAGTTAAAGTGGATTAACTTATACCAAAATATAAACAAAATCATCAATTCTAATTTAAATCTGGAAGGAAGAAACCTTGATTTAAACAATCAATTTACTAAAATTCTGTATCTCTACTTTCCAGAAGAAAGGTTAATTCTGCTTAGCTGGATGTTGACTGAAACAAAGGATAAGTCTATGCTAAGTTTGAGAGCACTTTTTCCTCATCTGTTATATATTTATAAATCTTATAGACACAGTTCTTTGCTTTTATATTATGTAATCTTGTATTTACTAGAAGCCAAAAGATTTTTGAGACACACGTCAAGCTGATCTTGGACAGAATTAAATAAATACAGAAAAAAACCCAATGTTAAAGTTTCTGTATTAAATAAAAAGCCAAGTTCCAAGTTTTACTAAGGATTTCTTTTATACATAAGTATGTTTACTTATAATTTATTTTTCTTTTATGCTTAAGTCTGTTTATTTACAACTAACTGGTTTATATAAGGATTTCTACACCTCAGTAATACAGCTGATAAAATTTTGGTCACTGGATTTATAAATGAAGAACAAGTCTTCAAAACAGTTTTTATTCATCTTTTAGAACAATAAATCAGTTTCAGATGTATGTGTTACTAAGCTGATCTAATTCAAATAAACAAAAAGGAAAATAATCAAGCAATCTTATTCTGGGGCAGACTTTGTTGCTGTTGCTTGACAAAAATCTCTTTCAACACAACTTGTTTTCAAATTTTCTGTTTGGTTAGGAATTAAGTAGTTAGGGAATTTGCAATGCAGCACAGTGTGTCAACTGACATCTTCACTGTTAGTTCAACCCAGCAAGGTTTAAGCTGTAAAGTCTTCTAAGGACTCTCGTACATCATATGGACTGCAAAGGGCCACCACCTAATAAAGGCCACCAGCGGTAACTCACAACATGGGACAGAGACGGAGCAGAGACTACAGCGTGAAAAGCAGCCAAAGCTCTGTTTGTTTTATGAAGACAGGTCTTCTCCAGTGCCACCCATCTGGTGTGCCTCACTCAAGTACTAATTCAGCTCCAGCCTAGTTAATGAATAAAGCAAGCCTAACAGCTCCAGCAGGAACCTGCCATAAGCTCTGTTCCCAACCACCCTCTTAACATGTTACAAAAGCTTTTGGTATATATCAGCTTTACAATTTGAAAATATAACTCAAAACATTCCATAGGGATACTCCAAATCACTGCCGAGATGTTAAAAATCCCATTACATATACATACAGTGCATATTTACATAAGCAGATGGACACAGGTCTGTTCTCTTATCAAAATTAAGCAATTAATATTAAGAGATTATGAGAATATTTCCTTCATAGATTATGAACCAGACAGGTCTGAGGAACACAGATAGGAAATAAGAGAATAATTCATTTGAAAGAACTGTCAAAGCGGTCCTGAGGGTGACGAAATGAAGATCTGGCCAAGAACAGTTGGCACAGAAAAGCAAAGCCTACAAACTTAAGCTTAGTAAGCACGTACATTTTTTTTCCTCTCCTATATTATATGATTCTAAGAGAGACCATCCTCTGAGTGTCAACTGAAGACTTTCAATCAAGACTTTCCACAAAAGACAAACTCCTGGTTGTGAATGAACTACTCAATAAAATGAATTAATACAGCCTACCACTGTATACAGGAGTACAATATATTTAAGAAACCAACTGTGACAAAGTCTGTATTAGAAGCTCTGAAGAGCAAGGAACATGAAAAACTTGCTTTAAAGCACTTGCAGCATACATACCGTATGTCTTGAGAAGAGCAGGCAAAATAAAGCAGTTACAAGAGATGAAATAAAGCAAAAGCTTTGAATCTGTGAAGACGACTACTCTTTCAAGACCATCTTGAAAAATCAAAACAGTTGCAAACGTGCATTTTAGGCTTAAGGCACAAAAAGAAAGTGACCATGAGATCTTAGAAATGTGAGTAAACAGATGATTCCCTGAACTAATTCCCAACTCAAAGATGGTTTGGCTGCAATAAGTATGTATCTGAACAATTTAAAAGGGACAGCAATAAAAAGAATCAGTTAGTACAAGAATCTTGAAAAATCCTTGCCAGGTAAGTTCCCAACCCTCCCAAACACATCTATACCAAGCCTTCACAAGCATTTGAGATGGGCTTCAAATAGCATATGTTTCTTGGGCATCATAAATTTCCACACATCCTCCAGATAAATATACACCTGAGACTGATCGTAACAGTGCTACTGCACAAAGGTACAGCCTTAAGACAGCCTACACCAGAGTCTACAAAGATTTGAAAGCAAGCTATTTCTCATACCTAGTCTTCTATAGGCAGCCATAATCCATCCCTTCCCCCTGAGACTTATTAGGAGGACACTTTAACATGGCACAGAATACAACTCCAGTGTCACGCACCTTTGTATTATTTATTTTCCCATTCCGCAGCTCTGCTCTTGTCAACAATTTAATTGCCCTCAGCAGCATTAAACAGCACTGCTAGATTCACAAATGCAGTCCTGTCTCTCACAAAAGACAGACTGAAGAATTAGGTTGTAAATTACCATCAGAAAAATAATTTCAATCTGACAGAGGGCAGGGGGGAAGCAAGTAAAAGGGAAACTAAAGCACAGGAAA